GATCCACGACGGTCTGCCATTTGACCGAACGCCCATCGAGGAAATTCTGAGGGTGAACGGCAGACCTGATCTGTTGTGGTAGTCAGAACAACAGTGGAGACCATGCCCATGTATGTTTGATGCACAGGGACTGCCAAGGCAACACCCAGCGACTTCCAAATTGAAGGAAATGAAATAACATGTTCTACTTTGTGTGCGACCTGCAGTGGGTACGTAAATGAATACACTAGCCAGCCTCGAAAGGGTCGCCAAGGGCAGCCTCGACGGTGAAAAGGGCATAAGTTGGGGGACTCCATTCTACAGAACCACGTCCCTCTTCATATGCGTCCATAAATTGATCGCACCACCCTCCAGGTGCCTTCAAGGTTACAAACTCGCTGCCTATGCGGTGTCTTAGCTGCGCGCCCTCGTACCATTGTGGAAATATCCCAAATGTGCCCCAGTCCAAGAACCATGTAATGCGCCATTTCCCAGTCTCATCTTGTTTGATGGTGATGCTGTCGAGACCAATATCGCCGTTGGTATAAACAAGTCGCTGCTCTCGCTGCCGCATTGTGTGGTACTCGTCCCGACTTAGTTCCAGATACTTCCGTGACGGCCAATAGAACTGCCGCTCGAGTCGACACAGCAGATACTCGTCGAATTGATCGATGTTGGAGAAGACTGAGCCTGCAGGGGGGACAAAAGTTTGATCGTCGTAAGGACATAAAGGCCATGATCCCATCCGGTCACCAGCAGGCAAAGACTGGAGATGTCGGATCAGTTTACCGAGTTGATACGCAATAGCACGAATGTCCTCTTCTTTCAGTGGATATCCTCCGCTCTTCAACGCATCATAGAGTGTCATATCTTTAACCTCGTCCATGAGAATATAATGGATGCGGTGCCCAACGCGATACACTTGTCGGACTTGAGGAATCGGCAACCGAGATACGTCTCGGAGGAGTTCCATCGCTGCGGCTTCTCGTGCCATCACACCTGGGCCGTATTTGACAAATCCGTATTTTGTCGCAGCTCCTTGACGAACTTGGAAGCAGTCTAGTGGCGCTGCGTTCAAAACATCTTGCATGCTGAACTCAGGAGGAGGGCCTCGAGTAAGGAATTGTTTGCAGATGAGGTGTTCCCATGTGCTGGGTAGAGGAGTAGGGGTTAGGAGAAGGTTGTGCATTCGCCCCCATCTGTGTGCCATCCTCAATCCCCGGTTTGGTATTTTGAGGATGCCGTAGTTGTCGCCCTCCTCTTTTGAGTGCTGTAGAAGTTGAAGAGGCTCGCTGCCGGGTGAACGACGCATAAGACTTCCTACTGATCGGGCTCTCCGAAGTGTTGGTCGGAGCGCAGGTCCAGGAGAAGGTACTTCATTGGAAGGCGGAGATGTGGATGAGATTGTCGTCCAAACACCCAGATGGTCCATAAGCCGATATGGGTGCGAGGATGAACGACAATCAAGAAAATCTGTTGCGCTTAGTTTGCGAAGACAGATTGCTTGGTATGCTCCTCTTTGAGCAACAAGTCATGGTGAGAGAAACGTGTACAAAACACGGACCCTTTGAGAAAATAAATCAGTCCGCCCATCCCGTGCCGCAGAACACGACGCGTCGTAGGTGGACGCGTCCCTAGCCCCACTGGCATTAATAATGCAGGCTCTCCAGAAGTTTTTGCCGAACAATGGCTTTCCTGAAGGTTTATTGCGACCCCCCGGCATCGAGCACCTCGCTCCAGACCCGAATGTAGTCATGCCCGTCTATCTCTTCATCGGGAGCAGAGAGGAACTGGATCGAGAAGATCAGCACTGGGCTGTGGTGCTTATCCACAGGCGCGACCGGGTGTCCGCAGGAACCGGAACTTTTCAAGGTGTTTTTCTTTTATGACTCATTTATATTACATTTCTCTATATACTGTAGCTATATGCATGGCTATTATATATACTATTCTTTCCGCTTTACAGTGCGACGGCCAATGTAATGTTTTTGCGGCGGCGGGTTTACAGTATCATCGAGGTCATTTCCCATATGAGAAGCGGCACATAAGGCATACTGTATGAAAAGAAAAACGCCGTGAAAAGTTCCGGTAGTGTTAACTAGAACGAAATGACAGACCGGACCCTCGCACACGGGTTGATCTCTTACCACCACCTTCCTTAATTGGACCGTAGGGTGTTGCTTAGGGCAGGCACATGACCGATTTGAGGAAATAGGGCCCGGCAGTCCATTCTAGGGACTCTGCCTCCGAAAAAGTGCTATCGGAGGAAATTACTCCTT